ACAAATTGTGTATGTATCTCAATACTCTACTTATCTATGAGGATTAAAAACTTCGTAGAAAACATAATATGTAATCAGGTATATTATATGATGAATTATAACCAAAAGTTTATTGAGTTCCAGATCTAGTGATCATCTTTATGCTTATCTGCTATAGAAATGATTGAAGGTGCAGATTTAACCAAACCTACCTTAAAAAATGGATAGAACACCGTGGAAAACCTTACAAATTGGTCCAAACTGGTCAGGAGATAGTCAAACCAAGCTGCTCAAACTGGTCTAATGAACTAAATAAACAGTTGCTATGAACGCATACAAACCATACACAGTAGTCTGCACATGGGAGTGACAAGCAAGCTTCCACACTCTTCAGATGATGGTCTTCCGACGCTGCATTCTTCTACTGATGCTTGTTCATGATCGATGGTTGGTGGTTATTTGGTGCGACTTTAAGATACAAGTTCTAGTGAGACAGCGGTAGGTGCAACTTCAAGGGGAGAGGGTGAAGGTTTCCAACAGTGAAAGAGGCTGGGAGTTGAAGCGAGGCACTAGTTAGAGGTGTTTGATTGTGGTGACAGTAGCAGTTATATCCACTGCCTGGCGATTGCCACCAATTTGTGTCAAGGATGACAACTGCAAGTGGTTGGTGCCATCTCTCCTAATATTGGGAGTTAAAGGATTTTTTTCGGCTAAGTTTGTTTTTTTTTTTGGGGCATTATCTAATTTTTACTTTTTAATGTTAGAAGTTTGGTAGAAGGTGGTGAGAGAAATTACTCTCTGCTAACATTTGATGCAGGATGAGTTGCGAATAAACTTAGTTGTATTGAAGATTGTTTAGATGCTGTAGAAATTTGGGTAAAATATTTACTTTATTTTTCAATATATTTTTACTATTATACACATACTCAACTTGTATATCAAGTTTTGAAGATTTTTGTCGTAAAGTCCTTTACTAAAAATGTTTATCACTTAATTGTTAGAAAACACATGATATAAGTATAAGGAGCCATCAACCACTTTCTCTTTTATGAAGTGACGGTCAATTTCAATGTGTTTCGTCCGATCATGGTGAACCAGCTTTTGGGTAATAGTAATAACTGTTTTATTATCACAAAAAAATGATAGGCTTTTCTCTTTAAACAATTTTAATTCTTTCATTAGTTTTTGCACCCATAATAATTCACATATTGTTGGGGCCATTAGTCTGTATTCTGCTACAACACTAGAGCGGGTAACTACACTCTACTTTTTACTTTTCTATGTAATCAAATTACCTCCAACGAGTGTGCTGTAACCGGTGGTTGACCTTCCATTATCCGGAGATCCAGCCCAATCAGTATTTGTAAATATTTTATCTTAAAGTGGTCATTTCTAGAGAAGAGTAAACTTTTAACTGGTGCAGATTTCAGATATCGTAGTAATCAAAGAACGGCATGTAAATGAGTCTCGCGAGAATCATGTATATATTGACTCACCAGACTAACTGTATATGCTATATCTGCTATGATATGTTAGAGATAAATGAGTCTTCCAACTAATCTCTGATACCTTCCCATGTCAACTGATGTACCATTATCTGCTTGTAATTTGTGATTACTTTCAATAGGGGATTCGGCTGGCTTACAACCCATCATACTAGTTTCTTCTAACAAGTTTCAGATATATTTTTTTTGAGAAATGAAGATTCTTTCATTAAATCTGTCAACTTCAATTCCCAGTAAATACTGCAATTTTTCTATATCCTTGATTTCAAATTCTTAAGCAAGAAGTCCCTTTAATCGAGTCATCTTCTTTATATTATCTCTAATCACCACAATATCATATACATAAATAATAAGAAGAGTGATCATTCCCTTACAACGCTTGATGAATAGGGTATGATCAGCATTGTTTTGCTGATATTTGAAAAAAATCATAACTCTTTTGAACCTTTCAAATCATACTTTTGGAGACTGCTTCAGTCCATACAAGGCCTTCTTTAATTTGCAAATCTTCCCTTGTGTTCTTTCATCTTCAAAACGCAAGATAGTAATATTCTAATTGTATTCATTTTAGCGACAGGTGCAAAGGTTTCTTGGTAATCAACTCCATAGGTCTGAGTAAACCCTTTATCCACTAGTTTAGCTTTGCATATTTCAATTGACCTATCTGTTTTATGTTTTACAGTGAACACTCACTTACAACCAATCATCTTCTTATTTGTGGGATTGAAATAAACTTTCATGTTTTATTTTTTACTAATGCATTCATTTCTTCAATCATCGCTTCCTTACATTTGAGATCTTCTAGAAGTTCTATTCAATCGTGTGGAATAGACATAGAGAAAACAAACAAAAAGAAAGCTCTATAGAAGGGAGATAGGGAGTTATATGAAACAAAATTCGACATAAGACGTTTAGTGCAACTTTTGGTTACTCTTCTAAAAGCAAGGGGTTTTTTAGATAATTCACCAAGTAAAGATGACTCATCAACATTTTCAGGAATTGAAAAAGATTTTTGACCTAAGATAGAGTGCATGATGACTTTTTTTGCATTATGTTTCCTTGAATATCTCTTTAAGTTCGGTTTATCTGGTCGTCCAATATTTTCTTCTTAAATAAGATCCTGTGAAATAGAATTATTCCCCTAAATATGATTATCAGGAGTTACCGAACAGGGTATCACCTCTTTTATTTCACTTTCCCCCTGAAGAAGTGTTGGAGTAGAGCTGAAATATGGTTCAGATTCTCTAAAAGTAATATTTATAGTCACAAAGTATCTTCTATATTGTGGATGATAACACCTGTAATCTTTTTGAGTAGGAGAATATTCAATAAATACACATCTGAGAGCTTTAAATTTCAGTTTACTCACATTTTTAACATAGATAAAGTAAACACATCCAAATACTTTTGGGGGAACAGTATAGGAATTTGTACCTTACAAAACTTCCAAAGGATTTCTAAAATCAAGAACTCGTAAAAGCATCCTATTAATAAGGTAGACAGCTGAGAGAACTGTATCTTCCCAATATGTTAGGTAGATTCATTAGTGACTGAGTTAATCCCAATATGTGTCTTTTTTTTCTTTCAGCAACTCTGTTCTGTTCA